CAGTCTTTGGATATGAAGCTGAGTTCACATCCCACAGGGTCCATTTTTGAGCCAATGATAATATTTCTGAGTCTAAGTCTCCTCAACTATAAACCAGGGAAATGATTGCTGCACACAAAAAAATGGGATAAACTGATGGTGGCACCTTGCAGGAACTCAACCTGTGGCAGTTCAGTGTTTTTTGTAGCAGTACACACTTATGGTCAGGAATCAGTAACAAACTAAATTCTGGAGCAAAACATAAGAATGGATTTCACACAGGGGAGTAGCTGACCCCACTTCTGGGATAGCTATAGTGGGAAGATGACAAAGAAGAGCAGGGATGCGAGTAAATGGTGGAAAAGGGCTGAAGGGAAGCTGCCGAGTGGCAGAAAGACGCTCCATGTGTAATACTTTAACTTGAACCTCCATTTCCAATCATCAGAACCTACTGGGAAGCACACCCCCACCGGGGTCAGAGTTCCACACAGTGATGTCATGGGGAAGCCCAAGGTGGGGCTGAGGTTCTGGGAGGGAGTAAATGAACGGGTATAAATGATCCCTCAGCACTATTTACAGAGGGACTTTCCTAATGAGTCAGAATGCATCACAAAAGCATACCCAGACCCCTCCTAATTTATGCAGGAAAATAAGTTGCAGATAATAATCTACAGGACGTCAGAACTCTTAGGAGTCAATCCAACACCCTCATTTACCAAATGAGGATGCTGGGTGACAAAGCAATTTTGTGGCAGAGCCAGAGGAAAGAATTTGGATGTCCTCCCTCCCCAGCTGGTGCTTCTTCCCCACATTCTGTAAGCAGAACTTAACCAGAGGCCAAGGCCAACATGTTAATTAAACTTGACAGAAACCACTTGGCACTAGGAATCACACTCTGCTTTCTTTAACCCTTTTTGGCTGTATTTTTTCTCATTGTTAAAAATAAAGTTCTTATTTGCCTTTCTCACAAAACATTCCTCATAAAGACTACTAATAAAAAGAAATCTCATTTTCTTTCTTACTGGTATGTTCACAAATTTCACCTTCAGATATTTTTGAGAGCAACAGAAGCAGAACCCAATAGTCTAATTTTTCTTAAAGTTTAATACAATGTGGGCATTTTCCCAGTTTACAAGTCTAGCTGTTGCTTTCTACACTTGCATAATAAATACGGTGAACTGAAGTCCCATAATAATGAAGACTGATGGCTCAGAGAAACAAGGTCATGTATAGAAAACTTCTGGAAGTCACTGCCTCTGGGTCTTGCATTGCATAGACAATCAGCTCTTGGGGATGAAAAAAAAAGACCTCATCACCAGTTCTCCCCCATGGACAAAAGAATCTGCAGCCATATCCAGCAATAACTGAGTTAGAAAAGCAGAGACCCTTGAGGAACACAGGAAGAGGAAAAAAAAAAAAAAATGTCTCATACTTTAAGGAAAGCAGCCAGTGGAACAGTCTTGCTTTGCTCCAATAGCAAAAATTTCAGGAGAAATCACTCCTATCCAATACTTTTTAATGCACTGTGAAGGTCAAGCTTTAAAAGTGGGGTGTGTATGGGAAGGCTKCAAGGCTGATAAACAAAAACAAAACAAAGGCCAGGCCAATGAACCATCATGCTTGTAAACTTCTCCACATCTCATCCGGGAACCTGGTGAGGCTTACACAGGGTAGGTGCCAAGCCACAGGCAGGGAGGAGCCATGTTAAGTATCAAGCTAATGAACTGACCATTACCTATCCTCTGGATTCAAATGGAAGAAGCTGTTATTTTACACTCAAAGAAGCTGCATCATTAAAGCCCTTTTAGAAAGAACTGTTACTCCCATAACAGGAAGTGACTATAGAATGAATTAGCAAGTAATGATGAGTTGGTTCCACAACTGTTCCTGTACAGTGAGGGGCAGATATGTGGAAGACCCAAAGATGCCAGGAAGAAAGCACACATAAAGCCCAAGGAGTAACTATCTGCAAGTCCAACTGGAGCCCTGAAAGTAGCCAACTTCAGGATGCCCTTTATTCTCGCAAAGCCAGGGTCTAAGGAGTAGAATCTACCTTTTTATTTCCAGTACTGAAATGAACCTGGGGTGCCTCACCACTGAGCTACATCTCCAGACCATTTCCTTTTTCTTTTTGGTACTGGGGATTGAACCCAGGGACACTTTACGACTGAGACAAATCCCCAGCCCATTTTATTTTTTATTTTGAGGCAGGATATCACTAAGTAGCTTAGGTCCTCACTAAGGTGCTGAGGCTGAACTTGAACTTGTGATCCTACTGCCTTAACATCCCAAGTCGCTGGGATTACAGAGGTGTAACACTTCCAGTTGTGGAACTTGCTGGGAGTCCCTCATGAGCTTTATCTGTCTATTCTCACTTATAAAACATGGCATTCTGATTACCCATAGGTGATGGGGTTGAAAGCTAGATATAACTGTACATATAAGGGTAWGCATCACGGGAGGGAAACCCAAAATTATAACCATCAGGAAGTTAGAACAAGTCCCAGTCCTAACCATGTCCTATTCTCAATGGCCAAATGACTTGTGGCTCTGACAATGGGGACTTTCTATAAGGCAGGAGAAACAGATTAGATGCACCCAAAATAGCAGGTGGTGCAGGGCACCACGAAACCTACTGTGGACAAGACTCCTATGGATTCTCAGTAGAAATTGCTATTTTTAATTTTTAGTTTGTGAAAAACATSTCATATGAAGACCAGGATGGAAGGCAAGGGAAGAGTCAGGAAAACTGCACACTACAAATGGGAAAATGAAAACCACAATGCATTCTTTTTAACATTTAAGTTCTAGACCAAGACTTTTTTTTTTTTTTTTTTTGCTTCCCACAGCCGCCCTCCCTGCTCACGAATAGAAAATGGTTATTCTCCCTTTGAATTCTGAAGGTATTTCCTTGCATGTTTGCCAAGGACCTGAGGACTGAGTGCACATGCTCAAACACCACTGGACCCACTGCCCTCCAACCTGGTATGTTGTCCTGCTTTTTCCAGGAAAGTCTCAGCCAGGACTCCCCTTTGCTCAGACTCAAGACTCTTGACATTTGATTTGCTGGGATGTAGCATTAAAAAAAAAAAAAAGACTTTTAGAAAAGAATGACCCTACTGTTTCACAAGAGCGTCCAGCCTTGTCAGACTCCTTAAAGGGTTTATTTTATCATCAGAGCAATAATCTCCTATTTCTAAAAAACTCAAATAACCTCTAAGGTATGCATGGTATGGCTGATGCACAGCCCATGCTGGAGACTGACAGATGAGAAATGATGTGTTTTAGTTATTCCATCTATAGAATAAAAAGTCTTATTGCTTGACTCCAATTCTTTGTTACAAAGTTATATTAGAAGGATTAAAATCAATCTTTTACTTTTAGACAAAAACAATTTTGAAGATCACTGCAGGATGAGGATTTTTTTTCTGAGATGATATGCTGGCAAAGTTATAGCAATAGGTCAAAGTGTATGTCTCTAGATCAGCCCCTGGAGACAATCCATGGGCAGTGCTGGGAAGCCTAAGAGATAAGTTCAACCCTTAATTCTGTAGAGGACTGACCTGTATGGTAGGTAACTAGTCTGACTGAAGCACAACAGAGCCAAGATGAGATCTTGGATTGAGGACTCCTGTCCCCCACCCTGCAGCCCTAAGATTCTTGGGGCAGATATGCAGAATGTTACAGTTTTGTCAAACAAATTGAAGCTCTGGGAACCTTAGGGCAAAAACAGCACAGCATCCAGCTCACTATTCTTGCTCAATGATAGCACCAAGAGAGAAGTCAAACATTTGCCTCAAAACACAAACATAATCCACTTTATTAAGAAAAGTGTTTTCATTACCCACAAGGCAATTAGTTCTGGTTCTCTTCTCCTATGAGAAGTTCAAATACATATATGCCCATGGCTGGTTAAATGAAAGCCATGTGGCTCAATCAGGGGGCACTATCATTTTAGAAAATGCTGGCCAACAACAATAAGATACAAGCTCACAATGTAACTTTGAAATTTCTAGTGGCCACACTAAAAAAGTAAAAGAAAAACAGGTAAAATTAGCTAAATAAAATTTTTTTGGTGGGGAGGGGGGGCGCAGGGGCAGGTAGCAGGGATTGAGCTCAGGAGCACCTGGCCACTGAGCCACATCATCCCCAGMCCTATTTTGTATTTTATTTAGAGACAGGGTCTCACTAAGTTGCTTAGCTCCTCACTTTTGCTGAGGCTGGCTTTGAACTTGCAATCCTCCTGTCTCAGCCTCCTGAGCTGCTGGGATTATAGCATGCACCATTAATCTAAATCTTATCTAACCTAATTTATCTAAAAATTTAATCACTGCAATATATGATCAATATAAAAGTTGAGATTGCACCACATTTGGGGCATATTCCAAAGGAAATAAATTCAGTATATAGAAGAAATATTGCACATCCAAGTTAACAGCAGCACTATTTATAATGCCCAAGATATAGAATTATTCAAGTTGTTATCAATGCATGAATGAATAAAAAATAGTATTCCATGTGTGGATGTATATACACAAGTACTCTATGATTTTACTGATGTGTAGAATTTAAAAATACCCAACTCAGAAGTAGAGAGTAAAACACTGTTCATTAGAGGTTGGAAAAATACTGGTTAAAGGACACTAAATTTCACTTAAGCAAGAAGAAAAAGTTTTTAAGATGTATTGTACAGCATGGTGATTATATTAATAGAAACAAATTATGAATTTCAATACTACTAAAATAAAAATCAAATGTTTTCACTACCAAAATGGATATGTGAGATGGAAACTAGCTTAATCAATCATATTAATCATTGTGCAATGTATACATATACCGAAACCTCAAACTGTATCCTATCAATGTATATAATTACTATTTGTCAAGTAAAATTAAAACTCTCACAAGAAAAAGCTTCAGATGCATCTATGTCCTGCTCTTCCTTTCTCCATGTAGTTCCTAYACATCATCTTCTGAGCTGGGAGTGACCAGCTACAAGAGCATTTTAGATGACTGCTCACCTGTCAATGAACTGATCGATGACAACGATGTCACCGGGCTGAATCTCCTCCCTCAAGGAGCCGCAAGCCGTTGTCACTATGACATGTGTACAGCCCTCCTCCTTCAGAGCCCAGATGTTCGCCTGGTAGTTGACTTTTGAAGGCATGATGGTGTGCTGCCTCCCATGTCTAAGGRAAAGAGAATAAAAATGGTAGACAAGTGATCAGGGCATCTTAATACTGCTGGAAAACCATACTAATTCAATGGCAGTGTTTACTAGTGTTTTCTACCAAAGCATTTTTATTGGCAGAGGAGGAATGAGAAGAGATCAGTCAATAATCATACTACAACAAGCACAGACTAGCTCATCTTAAAATGCAGACCAGCTTTATGTTCCATATATTAATTTTCCTACAAGGGCAGGTAACAACTTGCATAGAATCCACATTCCAGGAAGACATACTGCATCTGTCACACAGGGCATGAATGCCCCAGAGCAAGGCATAAGGTTTCATGTGCACCACTGTTTTCTAACTGAAATGGAAGCCCAAGCAGTTGGGTCTTTCTATTCCTTTCTGCCTGATCCTCCAAAAAGCTAATGAAAACTTGTAAGGCATGAGAGTTCCCAGTTGTTTGGAGTGACAGTAACAGGTTTTGTCCAGTAACTGCTTACCTGACTGACAACCACTGGATGGTCTGAACTGCGACCCACCAGAATTTATGTTGAAGACCCAACCTCCACTCCTAACTCAGAATGTGACTGCTTTTGGAGACAGTTCTTTATGAAGTAATTATGTTAAAATGAGGTCATTAGGGTGAGTCCTGATCTAAGATGACTGGTACCCTTTCAAGAAGGGGAAATTTGGACATAGACATGTAGAGAGGGAAGTGGATATGAGGACACTGAGACAAGACAAGCCAAGACAAGCCAAGAGACAGGCCAGGAATATAACCTTCCCTCACAGCCCTCAGAAGGAGAGCTCTGCCAACACCTCAGTCTGAGTTCCAGCCTCCAGAGCTGTGAGAAAATTCATTTGTTATGCAAGGCAGCCATTCTATAGCACTGTTATGATAGTCTCAGTAAACAAATATAATCACCAATGCTTACTATCATACTGCAAATAAAACCTAGTACTTTACYATGGATTTCTACCGCGTGGGCCCCAGCTTAATGACATAACACCTCCTAACCCAGGTCTCATAGCTCTGCTGCATCCACACTTACTTCTACTTAGGTCTCAAAACTCTTTAGGTCTAAACTCCAAAATCACCACCTCTGAGTTTCCCTCTATGACCATCACATCTACATCATATCAGTTCCTCAAACCCATTTTTCTTCATAGTGCCTCTCAGCACCTTAAACTTATCTTCTTTTAGTCTCAGCTTTTTCAACTGGAATCAGCCTGGAGGGTGATGCTGTGTCTACCTTCCTCCCTGGCACTTAGAAAGGGATACATAACAAGTAAATGGTTTGATCTGTTAGACAAAAACATGTATTTGGTTAAAATTCTTTGATCACTTGAAATACACAGTGAGCAGCTAGTAAAGGGAACTCAATTTCTGAAATTATTTCTAAAAATTCACGTGTATCACAAAGCATACTTATAAGCCATATTTCATAAATAAAACTTAAAATTATCTTGGGCTATTTGAGTAACTAAGACATGTCATGCTCTATCACAGAAAGGCAGTGTCCAAAGTCAAGTTTCCTTTCCATGTGATCATGCAGAAGGACTATCACACAAAACTTACAAAACTTTGTTTGATGATGATTAGAAATTTAGGCTTCATTTTTGTTTTGCTTACATATTTGCTTATATTTTTTGGTGAGAACACACATTTAAATTCTATTTTACATAAGTATAAGGTTGAATTTCTATATGTTTAACATTAATAGACATAGACATATCTAGAAAAAGAGAGTAGAAATAAATATATCCAAATATTAAGGAAAAAGTTAGAGCTTTCGAGTAAAATTTTGGGTTTGAAACTCTGCCACTTACTAGCCCTGTGACCTTATCAGTCACTCTACTCTCAGTTCATTTTCTTTTCACCTGTAAAATGAATAATGAAATACCTACGCTAGAGGATTATTATTAAATACCTCTTGTAATTATCATGTTTATACCTAAAAAGTATCTTTAATGTCTTTCCTGATGAACAACAGAAGTATTAAAAGCATCAAAATAAYTGCAGACACATGTAGCACACTGGGGCTTCTATCCTGAGTTAACAGATGATCCTATCAGAAGATGGGGACCATCGATACCCAGAATGTACATATATCTTTCTGAAAGTGTTCTCTAAAACTCTTGATTAGCTATTTCAAAAGAAATTTTTAAAACCAAAAGCATTTCAGAACCAATGCATTAGAGGGTCAATCATCTCACAGTCTGACAGTTTAGTTCAGGAACATTAAAGCCTCAGCATTGGGCCATCTTACCAACGGTCTCCCTATGGACCTTGGAAAAAATTAATCAATTCTCTAGCCGTCTCTAGTCAAGACTTGGGTTGTTAATACAAAAGCTATTTTCTTTTTTTTTAAATTTAGGGCTGGGGATGTGGCTCAAGCAGTAGCGCACTTGCCTGGCATGCGCGGGGTACTGGGTTTGACCCTCAGCACCACATAAAATAAAGATGTTGTGTCCACTGAAAACTGAAAAATAAATATTGATAACAATTCTCTCTCTCTTAAAAAAAAAAAAAAGCAAGCCAGTAAAGACAAAGGAAGTGCCCTGAAATAACTTTGGTAACCATCTTAAACTGAAACCGAGGGCCCCACGTTCATGCCCTGCATAATCCCCTCCCCTCAGTGTGGTTGGATGGGTCTCACTCCCAACTGTTAGAAGGCATTTCATAACCAGGCTCCACTTGGCTGGCACGCTACTGAGGTTCTACTGGCCCTACAGAAATGAGCTGTTATAGGATGAAGAGCCRTGGGGAGGCCAAATGGCAGGGAATGTGGGATGCCTGCAGGAGCTAAAAAAGGCCTCAGTCCTCCAACTGAGAGGAAACTGAATTCTGCCAACAACCACAGAAGCCTGAACAAGCCTGAGCTCCATACAAGAGTGGAGCAGGGAATACACCTTATATAACCCAAGCAGAAAACCCTGTGAAACTGTGCCAGACTTCTGACCACAGAAACTAGGAAATAAGTGTGCTGCTGAATCCGTGGTAATCTGGAACACGGCCATGGAAAACTAGGCAATGGAAAACTAAATGTGTAGTCTAATGTCTAACTATGTGATAAAAACAATGTTGCCTTCTTTACACCAGGGAGCGGCACCAGCCTCAACCAGGGAACAAGGTCTAGACACTACAGTCAACTCACTTGACAGGCCCAAGCCCCTTTCCACAAACATGAAACAACTACTATATAAGAAGTCACTAATGGAACACTGTTCTTTATGTTAATTAGGGAAAAAAAATTTCTTGCAGTTAGAACTGAAAACAGAGCTTCAATTTTATTCACCTGATTTTCTTTTCTAACCTCCTGGGATGGAGTGGAACATGAGCTCTTTGATATCCTACATATGCAAAGCTTACTTCAATTAATTAATTAACTAAGTAATTAAAGGTGGCTAAGATGTTCTGACTCCAACACATAAAATGTCATGCCTTCATCATTATTCGTTCCAGAATTTAAGCTAAATTTCAATTTAGTGATAATATTCAAAAAGCTTAAAATACTTACCTTGCAAGGAGGACACAATCAACATTTTTTATCTTCCCCAAAATTAAGGCATCAGATGGCTGTGTGCAATGAAAAACAGTTACACCTCAGTGATTTTTAAGACACATAAGCAAACATTTTAAAAAGCTGCCATTGAAAATTGTTAACCTATGACAGATTCATGAAACTTGCAGTCTGAAAATACAGCTTAGAAAAGAGTCTAGATTTAATTAACATAATCAAAGAATTTTAACTGAGTGCAAACTCAGGTTCTGAAGGTTGCTGGGGGCCTACATAGGTATCACTTAGTAAGGTCATTTGTATCAAGCACTCAGTGGACTCTGATAGCAGACTCAACAAATTTAGATGTGTCAAGGGTATACGGCAGGCTCAAGAATAGGTGTGAGTGAAAGGCAGAGAGGTAATGAGACCACAGCACGAAGGACTCAGCAATAGTGCTGTCTGCTTATGTTAACCAGGTCTCAGATAGCCATGGGGATGATGCAGGGAAAGTCCCTGTTCACTGAGGGGTTGCCAAAGCATGAGGTTAGGAGGAAAGTCAAGATGACATAGGACCTGGAAGTCATGAGGTCAATCCAAAAAGGAGGATTTAATTAGAAAGGACAGATGCAGAGATCTTCAGAAGATCAGAGAAACTATGTTTGGAAGTAGCAATAGGGAGTAAGTAGAAAGCAGACACCCCACCCTGGCCTAGGCAGTGACACAGGAGCCTGGGGAAAAAGCAGTGTGTCCTGGAAAACGAGGAGCACATCACTCCCAGTGCTATGAATACCCACACTATGTGATCTCCAAGACAATCCTCCTCTGGCTCTGGGCTCACTCAAAAAAAAAAAAAAAAAAAAAAAAAAACTACTTTGTAATAGTACTTCATCCTATTAGTCATCAGCCTGTACCCTGAATTAGTGTGCTGTAACATACAGTCACTGAATTAGAAGCTTATTTGAATGCAGACTTGAAAAGCAGAGTTGTTATGTCTAAAATGAGTGTCCGCCTTCTAGCAACATGAATTGAGAAGTTACTTGTGCATATTCAAAAGCTGTGTTTTCAAAACAGGGAGCTCTGAAGCATCCTTGCTCTGGGGGGATGAAACCCAATGACAAGACCCCAAGCCAAGACTTGGGTTGTCAATACAAAAGCAATTTTTTTCTTTTGATTTAAAAAGCAAGCCAGTAAGAAGTGTATAAAACTAACATAGCTATTAACATAGATATTAACCTTTCCAAATGGAGTATCCACGTATTTTTCAGTTCTTCCTTCTAAAATTTCTGGATCATCCAGGCCTGTTCCACCAATTATTCCAATCTAAGGGAAGAAAAAAGATCATCACACTGGATCATTTTTTTTTTTCATTTGAAACATTGAAAAACATTCAGAAACATTTGAAGGTCTTCTATTGTTTAGAAATAACCAAAATGTAATTTTTTAAATTATATCACATTTATTTCTGACTGAATTACAAATAAATAGAGAGGTACTTTTAGATATCTAATTAAGTAACTGATATCATTAGGAAAATTTCTCTGGGCTAACATCTGAAAGGAAAAAGTATGTAAACAGCCAGAAACCAGACATGACACCAAYAGAAATATCATAGAAAGTGACTGGAACTATTTTTACCCCCAACGAAAAGGTTTAACTCTATTGAAAAAGTAGCTTCTAGAACAAAAATTCAAAGTTTAGAATTACTTGAATATCTAAAGTAAGCAATTTTCAGATCAGGTTATATAAGTTGATTTAYCTCAATTTGGAGGAAAATGGCTCTTTCTCTGGCCCTCAATTTCCTGGTGGGGAAGTCAACAAATTGAAAATAAATAAATATGTAAAATAGGGGCATTTAGTGAGACCTTGCTGAAAATTCTGTTGGCTTAGTACATTTCCTTAAGTGGCTAAGTCAGTTGATGGAGCCACCTTGTGGTACATTACTGAAATCACAGGTTTTATTGTTTCATACTAACTAAAAAACATAAACTAATAAACATTAGTTTTAAATCAAATCAAAAGCAGCACTCCCTTTAGTCAATACATTAAAATCATCTAGTTGAACAGAATTTTTTTTTTAAAAAAAAGAAATCACACTGCTTTTTGCAAATGGGAACCTTCCTTTGGTCTGGCCTCTCCATTTTATCCTTCATTTTATGTATCCTCTTAAGCACCACGAGTCATAAAGAGGTTAATAAACTGTCCAGCTAACGTCCTCATCTTGGTCACAGAAATAAACTGCTGACTCTAAAAATTACTCTCAGCCTACTCTTTGGAGATTCAGGTACTCAAAGAAACTTTTGCATTTTTTACTTATGACCACTTGATTGTTTTTAGATATTCCCTGGGCTGTGGCCCAGGTGATTTAACAGTGGATTCTGGATTTAACAGTGGACCCTCAGGCTTGTACATACAAAACAAATCTAATTTGGTTTTGGAACTACTGTTCAGTTTTCATGCTAGTCCAGCATGGAAGCAGTGATTACGAAATGCTAGTGGGGAATGGTGATGCACATCTATGGTTTAGGAGACTGAGGCAGGAAGACCGCAAGTTCAAAGCCAGCCTCAGCAACTTAGTGAGACCTTGTCTTGAGAGAAAAATTGGAGAGGGGGCTGGCTATGTGGCTCAGTGGTCGAGTACCTCTGGGTTAAATCCCCAGTACCAAAAACAACAACAAAAAATAAAACAAAGAACACTAGGTAGTCCTGAAATTCTGAATTCCAAACTTCAGTATATACCATCTGGGCTGCATGATGGCCCTGCACTAGGTAACTGGCAACTCAGCCCTCGGCAAAGCATATACAGTATTTGATTAGAAAGCAAGTGGCCAGTGCTTGCCAGAAGGGCAGGATGGAGTCTCTGGCAATGAAAAGATCTGCAGGCAAGCCTACCCAGCCATCCAACTAGTTCCAGTTGTTTATGGAAACCCTCCTTGCAAGGGATAAAGCAACAAGTGTAGTGACTGAGTACTGTATTGCCATTGAAGGTAACTGGACCTCCAAGATGGAGGCTGGCAGTGCCAAAATGTGGTCAATGTCGCCACCTGCTGGTCCTATGGCAAAGTACAGTTGAGATAAAGTCTCCATGGCCCAATTCTATTTACACCCTTGTAAGCCTCTAAATTTAACAATCAGTTCAGTATGTGCCTTGATAATGAAATGACTGTTCTGAGTATTTATATGCCAGATGTATTGTGTAAAGTGCTTCAGAGGCCTAATCTGTTATTTAATCATTACATCTATCCTATGAGATAGGCCCTATACTATTATACCCACTTTAAAATAAGGAAAGACAAGCACAAAAATAAAGAAATTTGTATAAGAGCAAATCATAGGGAGCAAACCTGGGATAGAGACCCAGGTTTCTAAAGCTTAATCATCATGATATGCTATGTCCTAATATCCCTTGGAGTCTTTCCTGATATCATGCTCTATTTAAAAAGTTTTGTTGTTTCCATGTTATAAAGAAACATGCTCAGCAGGGTCAAGAACTTTCTTGACCAAGGTCACAGAGCAAGCATAGAAATAGTACCTCTGGGTATCTGAGTGACCACCTTAAAGGGGAAGAGGATTGATCACAGATAACTTCATCCATCCTCAGGAAACAATAAGACCCGTGGCTGGATCATCAGTCATGAGTCCAGTTAATTCTAGCTTGTCCATAAAATGGGCTTAAGGCCTGAGATGGAATTTCTGGGCCAATTCTCCCCATCATTACACAAAATAAGGGACCAAAATGGGAACTCCCTGGTCAATCAAGGTCACTAAAAGATTTTGTCAGTTCCTTCCCCATTTTCCCACTGATAGACCACTGAGACAGTCTTCTCAAAAAGAGAAAAACAGGTTTAACTTCTTCTCTGACARGATGGAAGCATCCTGTGCAAGTGGTGGCTTACCTGGTCAGAATGGTTAGATCCAGCAAGGATGAAAGGGTGCCTCCAAATCCCTACCCTATGTGCATTTTCCTTGGTACCTGGCTCCAGAGACTTCACCTACCCAGTCTGGTCTCAGGACCCATTACCTTGAGATCTGAACACCCTGCCTCAAGAACCCAGTGCTCTATGAGGGCATTCTTAAAACATTACAACTCTCAGTAGCTGAGATCATCCCATGCCAAGGCGATAGACTGCTTTTGAGTGCTTCAACTCTCAAGGAGGTTAAGAGTCAGAGCTAAAGCTGGCACAGTCTTTGAGTATTTCAGTCTGTCACCTCTGGTTGCTGCTGACAAGTTCAGTAAGCTCAGCAGATAGAAGCCCTCATTATTTGGCCAACTTGGCTTTGAAGTCTCTGAGGACTTTGCAAAATCCCAGATGTCCTATATGGGAAAAGAGCAGCCAAATGACTCAGGCTGCCTATTTAAAACCTGCAATATGGTTCAAATGTCCTTTGTGAGGAATGATTATGTGCTGAACTGTGCTCCACTACCCCAGATTCATGATGAAGTTCTAACCAGCAGTACTTCAGAATATGCCTGTATTCGGAAATTGGGTCTTCAATGAGGTTAAGAAAGGTTAAATGAGGTCAATGGGATGGGCCCCAATCCAATAAATTGGGAGTCCTAAGAAAAGTGATTCAGACACCTATATAGAAGAAAGACTGTGAAAACGTGGAAAACACGGCCAGGTATAAGCCAAGAAAAGGGAAACTGACCCTGATCACACCCTGATCTTGGACTCCACAACTGTAAGGTAATATGCTTCCATTTCTTAAGCCACCTGTTAGTGTGCTTTATTACAGCAGCCCTGGTGAACTACTACAGGGATGTTACATTCCAGTCAGAGAAGTCTGATGGAACACAGTTCAGAACACTCAAGGCTTTGATCATCCTCTCCTTGCAATGTCAAGATACAAGTCCAGTGAGGAATCACTCTCTGTAAGACACTTCACTCCTGAAATGGTCAAGTAATTTTTAAGGGTTTTCCTCAGAGCTCATTGTGTTCTTTAGAGCTCTCCTTCACAGGATCTACCTGGCTTCCTCCTGAGTCAGCAGAGAGAATACTTAAATCTCCTGGGGAACTTTCAATGCCAAAGCTCAGGTCCCAGATTGCAGAGATTCTGATTAATGGGAGACACAGAATTTGTTTTACTTAAAGCTCCTCAAGTGGTTCTAACGTGCATCCACAACTAAGCATGCTGCTTTAAGGCTTAAACCACAAATTTATAAAATGTGGCCTAGCTGAGTATGGTAGGCTGAATAATGGTCCCTATATTCATCAKTTTTTTTTGTAGCTGTGATGGAATACATGTGAAAATAATTTAAGAGGAAAAGTTTATTACAGCTCATGGTTTTAATCCACAGTCACTTGGCTCTGTCTCTTTTGAGTCTGTGGTGAGGCAGAACATCATGGCTGGGAGCACCTGGTGGAGAAGACGTTGGAAGAAATCTGTTCACATCATGGCTACCAGGAAGCCAAAAGGAGAGTGAAGGTCCTGGGTCCCCAAATCCCCTTCAATGACCTAATTTCCTTCTACTAGGCCCACCTCCTACAGGTTCTACCACCTTCCAATAGTACCACAGGCTGGTGCCCAGGCCTTTAAAATATGGGTCTTTGGGGAACATTTAAGATCCAGATCTTAATATAAATGGACCCTATTTATATTCAAATTCTCAGAATCTATGCATGTTAAATGATTAAATTAAGAACCATGAGATGGGGAGATTATCTTGGATTATTTGAATGGGCCCTAAATGTAATCAGGAAAAAGAGCCTCATAAAAGTGAGGCTGAGTCAAATGATGGTGGTGGGATCACAGGAGCAGAGGGAGAGAAAAGGGGATGTGATTCCGGTGCCCTTAAGCCAAGCCAGGCTGATGTCTTCAGAAGTTGGGAAAAGCAAGCAATTGGACTGTCCTTTAGATCCTCCAAGAAGAGCCAACAAATGCTTGATTTTAGCCTYGTTAGACTCATTTTGGATTTCCGGCATCCATAGGAAGGCACTCAGTCTGAGGTAGGTGCTACAGCAGCTATAGGAAAGCAACACATAAGACTTGCCATAAGAGTCTATTAGAATGCAGTTGTCCACCCTTTCCAAAGCTCCAGGGTCAGTGGACATTTAACATCCTGGGTTTGTTACAGTCCTATATTTCTGGTTCAGCAAGACTAGGGCAGGGCCCAAGAATTTGCATTTGTAACATCACCAAGTAAGGCAGATGCTTAGGAAGCTTTGAGAACCACTGGTTTAGATGCCTCTGAGGTGCAGACTAGAATACGGGGATTACAATCACAGTTAAGGATCCAGGGTCCACTGCATGCAAGTATTTATGCTATGTTTCTTCATCTTCCTTATCTATGAGGGTCAGATTTCTACTTAATCTATAGAAGT